TCTCTGTCAATATACTTAATTCTCACAACAACCTTAAAAGAGAAATCCCAAAACGCTTCAGAAATATATAGCCGAAGTCAACTTAATACATTCTGTCCAAAACAGTTAGGCTATGCTGTATGCAAGCTGTGTTAGGCTAGACAAAACAAAGTAACAAAACATACACCCCTGACCCTATGGAATGCTTAGTCTACTTTGCAGACTAAGTGAAGGATGCTATGTAGATGCTATCTGTAACCCCAAAAAAATGGAGTTTATTTAAAAATAAGGGAATTAAATGCATACTGGTTTTGTAATCTGAGACAAATATCATTAAAATTATTTAAAAGGTGCTGTAGTTGTCATTTTCTTCTGCTTCTCTGTGGGAAAATTGTGATTTTAATGAATGGAGCAGGAGTTAGAAAACAAAGAGTTTGGAAACTTGAAATCTTGAATTTAATATTTCACCTGAAACCATCAAGTTTTATATGCCCAAACACACACTCATACACACAAACACACACATACTAAGGTAAAATTAATTCATACTTGATGCACAGGAATATTCTTAATTCTAAAGAGACATTTTTATTTTCACTTGTTCATATGCATGTATGGTATTATTCATCAGAAAATCAATTTTTAATAATGAACTCTAGTGCAGTTTAATACCTTACTCATTTTAGGATGAGTACATTAAAAATAACATACTTTATGTCTACGTTTACTCAGTAATTTAGAAATGGTAAGATGGAATTCCAATGAAGCTGAGGGAAAAGTCAAATATTCCATCAACATCCAAAGTCAAGGATTTTGGAAAAAGCTTTTTTTTTTTTGTGGGGGGAAGTAGGGGTTCTTTATGTACTCTCTAAAAGATAATTTATAGGGTCATATCTATAGGAAAAACGTTTGACTTGGAAAAAAATAGATTCCTGCTCTTCATATAAACTCTCACTCACGACAGATCATCATGATATCAATTTTTTCTTCCATATGATATGAGATCAGGGAGATATCATATGTGTGTGTGTGTGTGTGTGTGTGTGTGTACGTACCTCAGCTGTATATTTCAAGATATAATATCATTTAGTGGCTTTTACTATTTACCTTCCAGAAATTTATTCAATGTGTCTTTGGTCTCTGTTATATTAAAATTGAAAATTACAGCTCATGGATTAATACTACAGCCCCTCAGTTTTGTACCTTCTCACAGGCTTAGTTCCCATTACCTTTGGAGCATCTGACTTCTGAATAGGTTGGTGCATGTCTAACTCTCTGCTCTAAAAGCAAGAAACACCTGAAGGTGTGACATTGCCACATTAGTAGGGCTTTCTGAGCCTGGCTTTGCCTAGAGGAAAGCTGAATGTTGTGAGTTTTATAATCAGTTAGAGTAATTTAAAAGTCCTTCAGGTCAGGGGAGGCTCCTGAGAATCCCATGCATGCTTCAGCCTTTTCAATGTGCCAACCCTAAACAGAAAAATAGAACACCCACACAAGAAGCAATTACACTGCTGGTTGGCTTATGATGGGATGTGAATACAGGACTCAAAAAGAAAGTTGTATCACATGCAGAAAAGTTTGCCCAACCAAAGTCAGTTGCCCAAAGCCAGTGCTTCTTTGGTAAACCAAGAACAAATGTTATCTCACACACTGCCTGTCTTTTCGCCCTTTCAGTTCTCCCTCATTCCTTTTGCCTAATACGAATCTTTTTCTCACTCTGCATCACCCAACAATCTCAGATGGAATGAGGCCTCCCAGCTACCCATCCTCCATATTCTCTGGGCTTATGCCGCTGTGAAAATACACCCAGCTCCCTTTTCTTCTACAAACCAGTCTCAGCTCGATGTTTTCTCTTTTTTTCCCTTTGTATATTATGTTTCTGAACTCAGATGGCTTGCTGCTTCCAAGTGAACACAAACTCTTTTCCTTCCCTCCTAGGCTTGACAATTAGGTCTAATGTTTAATGTCCTCTCCCTTATCCTACCCCATACATTTCAAGTATATTCTCCATAAATTTGTCTGTATTTTAAGGTTTAAAAAATGCTGGCAGATAAGAGTGAAACACATCAAACAATGTTTTTAGGTTAACAGTAATGTATTCATTACTTGTGTAAGGTAAAGTTGGCCTTTGTACATGACATGATTCAATTACAATATTTTATCGGCCAATGAAAACAGGATCAACCAACTATGCTAATGCCTTTTATAAAGGATTTTGCTTTCAAAGATTTTTTTGTTGTTGTTATAAAAGCCAAATGGTCATGCTCACACATTTAATGTCTTTTTTCCAAGCCTAATGTCTTTCTTCCAAGTCCGCCTCTAATTACTCATGTAAGGAACTACATTTCATCAATACAGATATATACACCTCATTAAAAGACAAAAGAGCCTGAACCTTTGGCTTTTGTCCCATGATGTTTGCTGATAGATCTGAGAAGGGTACAGGAGTCAAAAGGCACTTATTAAGAACCTCTACTGTGAAAAAAAATAACCTCGTATTAAAGTGCTTAGTAGGTACTTAGAATTTTCTCCATATTATGTAATTACTGTCCAGAACAGTGATTTGTATAGAAATCCCCAACTTATCTTTGCAAAATGCCAATTCCAGTTTAATATGAAACCTGAGATAATTTTTAAGAAGTCCACAGGCGTGGACCACGTTTGGAGTAGCAAGAGTCTAGAGTGAGCACCAGTGGTTACTTGAAAAGCGTATTTTAAAGTCATATATTAAGCATGGAAAATAGTTCCTCCCATCCACAAAAATCAGACACCTTGTCTGCAGTAATATTTGGCTAAATTGGTCACCAAAGCACACACAGTCCTGCTGTTGGACGCTGAAAATTCTTCCGTCTCAATGTGGTAGTTTTTAGGGACAAGAGCCTGCAAAATGGAACAATGAGTAAAAAAGGAAGGTAATGAATATCATAAATAGAAAAAAAATGACAGATCCTACTCTGTAGGGAGCCGGAGTAGCATACTTACTCTGGGGGGATCAGCAGCAAGCCTGCTGTGAACTTCCGTTGAACTTCAGGGAAGTGAAACCACAGTAGAAGTATGTGTGTCTCAGAGAGAACAGACGGGCCTAGAGAGATAATGAGCTTTCGCTGACCTTGCTGTAAGTTAGTTTTTAGCTGAAGTATATTAACTGCAGTATGAGAATAATAACCACGGGCTATTCTAAGTAACTGCACCCTCCCTCTGCTATGTGTTTTGTGAACATATAAAATAAAGTACACTTAGGCCGAGGTCGGAGAGACTGACATCCTCACCTCCCAGACCACCTGACCCACCCAGCTTTCTGTTTCTATGTCTGTGTCTGTGTCCTTCTTCATCCCCCGCCGTTCCCTCTTAGGTCCTTGAACCCTTGTGCAGCGCAGGAGGTGATGCACGCCAGAGTACTCCAGTGGCCAGAGGTAACCTAGCCGAGTGGTTTTGAGTCAGACTCCCTCAGATTTCAAATCTGCGTTCCTCCACTTACTAGTTGCCTGACCTTACACCAATTATTTTATCTTCTCCTCCCACACTTCCTTACCTATAATAAGGAATAATAATATCTTAGAGTAGTTGTAGAAAGTAAAAGAGATAATGTAAGATAATATCATGCACTAGTATGACTACAATAAATAAAACTACGGAAATATACTCTTTAATTGTTAGAGAGAAAAATATATCAACTTGAGATGCAAAGGAAACTCTCCAACCTTCGCACGTGTTAAGCAAATTACCTAGAAATTAATTAATATTATTAAGGAATAAAAAGACTCAACTAGAGCTTTAAACATAATGTTGGCCCATATATAGAAACTGTATCTTAAATATTGACACTACCTTCAAATAATTAAGAATGCAGGATATTTTAGGTGTTTGCTCTTTTGACTTTAAAATATACATTGTCTTTATTGTCTAAGACTTGTACTAAATGGCAGATAAGCTTTGTCGTATTTAGAAAGGCAATTAAACAGAGAACAGAGGCCAATATATTATAGCTTCCAAAGGAAAAACATGTTTTATATCTAAATTATATTTCTAAATGTAAAAATGAACTTTTATATTTAAAATATGGCATTTGAAAGCTTTTTGATATTAGATGGAAATTTATCATGTACTCATACTTAAAGCAAAAAATTTCTCTAAGTGTCATGTATTTGATAACCAGCTAGGTTTTTCCACCTTCTTCTGGAACTCATTGGCCTCATAGAGACACAGCTTAAGGGCTAACACATACCATGCCAATTACTCTTAATTCAATTAATTGAGACTCACTAGATCGTCCTCTTGACTCAACACTCTGCTTCTTTATTACTCTCTGGTGTTGCCTTATTCACATTGCTCTTCTTCACAGAGCTTTTCCTTCTGATGTGCTTCTGCCCAGCCCCACGTGGATGTTGTAGAAAGAAAACAAGGTGCTAGAGAAAACTAGAACTAAATCCAGTGTGGAGTCTGCCAGCAGAGACCTGCATGGCCCTGGACAAAGCTTATGCTGTAAGACTTGGTTTCTTTTGTTCATAACAGTACCTTATTGTCAGGATTTGAGATAATATTGTTAAACATTTACATGGAGGACGCACATGGAAAATAGGCAAGGTTTGTAAACTTTTTTATTTATTAAATGCCAACTGATGCACCACTTAGTCTTGAAAGCTCTGAAGACAGAAGCAGTTTTTTACCTCTTCAAATATCCATTGGTGCATTTTATTTGCAACTGGTTACTTTTTTATGTGGCATCCTAGTTATTATGTATAAGTTATAGTCTGTGTAGATTTTCTCCTTTATGAGACTTGAAATTTCTAGAGGAAAGGTTTCCATATTCATATATGCACCATGCTTCCAGCCAGGAGCTTAAGAATAGTAGGTATAATAATAAGTAATTCAATAAGTATTTCTTCAATAGAGCAAAAACCACTTTCTCACAAAACTCCTATCAACTTTTAAGTTGGTCTCCTTTAGGTTTTCCCCAATTTCTCCAACTTTTCAATGCCCCACTAAATTGAATTACATAAAACACCAAATGTTTCACAAGGTTTTCCCTCAAACATGATTTATTTAGCAATCACATGTAATAAGAAAAACAGAGAAATACACCATAATAAAAACACAAGAATTGTAGGTTGTCATGTTAAAAATTAAATAAAAGAGGTTTTGGTTAAGTGAAAAGGCATATAAACTTGCAGGATACATATGTTGGGGAGCTGAGGTTAAAAATGCAAAGCAGGACATTCAAGGTGCAGCAGCCTAACTCATCAATCCCTCTCTTCAGATGGGCTCAATATTAATGTTTGCAGAAGGGACAGGCACAGATGACCTCCATTCTGACTTTCTATTAATTAGTGCTAGGTAGTAGCTGTCTTACAGAGAGGATAACAAGGGAAGGAAGAAATATAAAAGCTTAAAAGAAAAAGAAAGAGAAGGAGGGAGTGTAGCAGATAGAGAGAGATTAGGCAAGTAAGCACAGCAGCAGTGTGACAATTCTTTTGAAGGAGTGAAACTGTTTTTGTTCTGCACTCTCTCTGGAAATTTGGTCACAGTGCTTTATAAGTTGCAAAACCTGGAAAATTAGGTTCAATCCCAAGTACATAAATTGATGAATTCATTATATTCTATTATTTTAGTAATAAGGTCTTATAGATCTTAAAATATTAATAGAAACAAAATGGATATGCTTCCTATGACATTTGAGAAGTAGTATTTATATTTAATCCTTCTTTGAGAGATTCTATAGCTTTACTGAAAGACAACTGGCTCAAATAGGAACAATAGTAATTATACTCTCCAGATAGATTCTATTAAATGCACAATATTTTCTAGCTTGTTTTAAAAAGACATTCAAAGCGGTAGTTACAGTCTCTCCATAAATAGAAATAAAAAGTCCATTTGAAAGGATAATAAGTCACCATGATGTACATATCTATAAATGTTTTCCCCCAGCATGTTATTATAGATCAATCTTACTGCTTACATTTAAAGTATCAATTGCATTGTAATGTCTATGATACAATTCAATTATTTAGCTGTGTTTTGCATGAGATTTTGGTGAAACTAAAGCTAAGGATCTCTTCACGGAACAATCAAAAGCATTTTATACAGCCTACACCCAAATATATCTTAAATTACAATGAATGATGCATACTAAATATGCATATAGAATATGGCTTACACATTAAGAGAGATCTAAGTTATGAGTTATAAAATCTCACCACTTAGGCTTAAAAGCTTCTGAAGGTATCCTTTTCTAAAATATTGCTTAGCATTGTGGAACCTAGGAATGAAGCAGGTGCAGCAGAAAACTCGTTAGGATGGATGGATCCTCCTTTGCATGATTTAATTGATAGCTACTCTTGATTCTTTCCATCCAATTTCTACCTTTCACAAAGACAAATTCACTGAAGCTCACAGTCATTGCAATGCTTGTACAGTGAAAAGTTACAACATCTAATTGTGCTTGAGCTTTATTGTCAGCTAATAATACATAAAGGTAGTTTTTCAGCTTTGAGCAAAGGAAAGATTTTGCACATGCTCAGGCAAAACATTACAAGGAAGCAGGGCCTCTGAGGGCTGCAGTTTGTTTCTGTGTAGTAACATATAAAAGTCACGTCAAATAATGTTATCTGTACAGAAAAGTGTGGGCTTTCATTTTCATAGACATTTTTGAACACACATACACATTCTTGTATCTTATTTCTTGGCTGGTAATATGTTTTGTTACATCCTGATGGGATAAACACCCGACAGGCAAATTTCATTTTCCATTCTAGCGTCTGTCTCCACCAATGGCTGATGGTCCTATCATGAACTGCAGATAGCGTGTGACTTGCTTGTAACCACACCCATGGAGGTTATGCATTCATGCTTTGAAACCACGGGAATGGATGCAGGCTGGTCCAAGGGGTTCAGAGAAAGGTTTCACTGCTATTTCTTAGCATGAGAGTTTACCATGAAGTGTTCCTCAGGTCACCTAGCTGGGGTTCTGATGCTCCATTATTGGATTGTAGCATTGCTCTGGTGCTTCAACCAACTCCTCGGCAATCACGCCTGTCATTTTGCTCCTATGCATTTGAAACAAGAAGGACAATCTAAATAGTCCATTCCTCAGCACTGCAAAAAGATTTTTTTTTCCATAATTTTGTTTTTGCTTCCTTTTAAGACCGTGAAAAATTATAGTTATAGTTATAGCACTCTGCGTAAGACAGTGCAGGGAAGTAAATTTTAAATTATTTTGTCTTCTGCACTTGCATTGCACAATCATTATGACTGGGTTCAGAGCAAGAAAAATTAAAAACTGTCCGACTTTTGTCTCAAAAATTTCTCTGGCTTGATTGAAGAAGGCCAAATTGCAGAGAGAAAAAAATGGCAGAAGCACTGGCCAAAAACTCTGATAAGAACTTGAGTGTATTTATTTGGCCAGAGTTGCTAGCTCAAAATTTATGTTCTTCTTAATTCCTTGTATAGGGGTCAATTAAAATGGCCCAGTCCAATTCTGTGTTGAAAGAGGAGCTATAGCTTTGTGGAAGGTTGAGAATTTATGATGTTTTCATTGTCCTGAAATAAAATCCAGATGAAAATGTACATCAGAGAAGGAGTGGCTAGTGGTTGGGCAGGCTAGTCAAAGAGTACAAAATTTCATTTAGATAGAAGGAATCATTCAAGAGTCTACTGTAAAACACGGTTACAGTGGTTTAGAAATAATGTATCATGTTCCTGAAAACAGCTGCTAAAAGAGTAGATTTTAAAAGTTCTCCCCACAAAAAGAGATGAGCATGTGAAGTAATGCATATGTTAATCAGCTTGATTTAGCCATTCTACAATTTCAAAAAAGCATGTTGCATACCATTTTCATTTGTGAATTCAAAAATAAACAAATAAAAAGAAAAGAAAACAGAGAAAGAAGGTCATCATTTACTCATATACAGGTATCAATTACTGTCTGGCAATTCACATTGCAGTTTATATACCTTGTCAAAAATAAGGGCTTTTTCAGCATAAGTAATAGATAGTGGTTTTATATCAGTTGGAATTTCTCTTCCTATTTCTGCTCCGGGTGTGTGCGTGTGTGTTTGGATATATGTGTGTGTTCAATCCGAGTAAAAACTTTGGTTCTCTAGATCAGATGGGCATTTAGGCCTGGCAGGTAGTGTAAATGAGTTAAGTGGGCCTGCGTGAGTGTAAGACAACTAGACCCACAGGGACTAGAGTGAACTAAAGAAAGTAAACCTTGTCTACAGACATTCCAAAAGATACTTTATATCAGTGTGAAAGTCAAGGCAAGTCTACTGACTAAATACATCCCAGAAATTATCAGTTTTTGGTGTCTTGTTAGATCGTACACTTGACGTTAAAGAGCAGGCATTGGTCGTGACAGGGAACACTTTCCACCCAGTGAGTAACAGATCTGAGAGTGGATTGCTTTTAAAATGCCAGAAAGATAATGTGATCAATGATATGCCATTTTAAATAATAAAGCAGCCTGGTATTATATATCCAACCATTCTATTTTATTTTCTTTAATAAACAAAAACATTAAAAAAAATTTAAACAAAACAAAACACTTTCATGGACTAAAATGTCTTAGAAATGATGGTGAAATTATACAACAATGTGAAAAGTAGATTTTAAGGGCTTTTTTCTTGTTCTAAGTGTAGTGTTGCACATTGATTTATAAAGCTTCAGTATGGCACAGACATAATCAGAACTCAATATTTTCTGGGAAAGTGCCTCACAGGGGGACCTACACATTGAGAACAAAGCAGGCAATGGCTTTCAGGGACATGGCCAGGCTACCATAATAGCTACACTTTCTTTGATGGTGGCCAGCAAAAGAATTAGCTATCACTCACAAGGAAGCTGTGCTGAATTTGTAACAGGAAGCCTGCAAGCCAAATCTGACCCTCAGACATATTTTTTTCTTGTCCACAAAGCATTTCAAAAAACTTTGAGTAAACGGGAAAAATTGGAAGAGTTTACATTAAGAACCTCTCTTAACCACTAGGAACAGCTGGCAACACTGGGCCCTCATTCTTTTAGAGTGAAGGTCTGCCAGAGCCCAAGAGTGGCCAAATGTAGCCTTCAGGCTGGGTATGCTGTTCCTCTCTGTTTCCAGGACTGATCACTGCCTGTTGTCTCCCAGACACCATGCATGAGTCACAGTTGCCAATTGTTACCCCTCCTGTTGTTTTTAGATCTTGCCCACTTCCCTCATTTAAAGGACCTACTTGTTTTTGGAAGGCATGTGAATTTCTGTCTGAAGTTTGAGGAAAGATATTCCAACAATTAGACTCTGCACCAATTAACTTTGAGATAATTCCTTTAACATATATTGCAGGACTGTATCAACTCAGTTGCAGCAGACTTCTACTGAGGTTATATAATTAGTAAACATACAGAATTTATAAGGTGCTACTAAAGACCACATTTCCTAGAAGACTGAGCACCAAAGGCAGGGCTTTCTCAAACTGTGAAAAAAGCTGAATAATTTAATTGGCCTTGACAGAAAAAAAATTGCCAAACCATCTGCTAGGGTTTAAATATTATATTTAGTTTGAGGGGGCCATAAACTGTTCTGGCTTTGGGGTCTCCTTAGTTGAAAAATGAAAAAAGACACTTCATTAACTGCCAAGTGAATCACATCAAAACCTTTTACTGATGATATATCAGTTTCTTACTTACAGATATATATATATGTATGCATATAAATTGCCTTAGGTATTTTCATACAATAAACAGTTATTTTTACAAATGTATTAGTAACCTATTATCTACAAACAATTTTTTGAAAATTTTCATAAATATTCAAGATCCATTATCATAAATGTCTGGAAAATGTTGATCCTAAAATTTTGTTTTGATGATATCTGGTGTATACTGGATTGGAGATGACCTGTAGGAAAGTATCTTGCTTAATTTTGTTTTACTTGGTTTTCTAAAGACATAACACTTGCCAATGAAACTCTGTTACTTAAAACATCTATAAATCTTCCACTAAATTAGTTTTCCCTAAAATGTACTTCAGGGGCTTCGCTCTGTATCATGAGAACACAAGGACTCTTCTGAAATGATCATGGGCTCTAGAGGTAATAAATTTATAGTTTGAACAGACAGGGAGCATATAAACCAATATAATTGTTAAACATAGAGAGGGGTTTTCATTGCTGAATAGTCACTTTGAACTTGATTTCTCCCCAAGCATTATAAACAAAGTAGGGATCACACTCACTAACTCTGGAATTGTTGAGAAGATTAAGCGAGATAATATATGCAAAATGTTCATCACAGTCCCTGACACTTTATTGTTGCTATTAATGAAACTATTCTTATGAATAAAAGACAGTCTTACAACTAGCTGTCTTTGCCACTCAAGAATATTGAAGAAGAAATTATTTTAAAAATGAATCACGTTTTAACTCTTTCATATCTGAAGTAACACCTGTGGAATTAATAACATCTCTAAGATTTGAAATGCTACCCTCAGCATTTTCTCGTGCCTCCAACACACCACCCCAAAAAGTGTGTTTTGTTCTTGGGTTTTGCTCCTTACATCTTTTTCTTTTTAGTAGATATTAAGACATCCTCACTGTAAATACACATTCCTCCTTTCTAACTGCCTACATATTTGTTAGCAGTTCATGACAGGGGTTCTCAATTTTAGTGAACAGAAATATCAACAGACTGTCTTATCAAAAATTCAAATTTTCGAGGCATCACTCCCGGAGTTAATAATTTGGTAGATTGAAAACAAGCCTTAGAAGGTGAATTTTTAAAATGAGAACCACAGATGCACATGTGCACAGATTTTAACAAACAGGATAGATACTTGCATTGTTTTAATTACTGGGTATAAGCATTCATATTTTTACATGAAATAAAACAAGAAATCAGTCTAAAACATCCAGACATGAATGTTTAGAAATCAGTCTAAAACATTTCCTATGTGACGTGGAAAAAGAAATGAGGATTAAATATCCCCATGAACTTTACTATTATTATTATTATTTGAGACAGAGTCTTGCACTGTCACCTGCACTGGAGTGCAGTAACATGATCTCAGCTCACTGCAACCTCCACCTCCCTGTTTCAAGGGATTCTCCTGAGTCAGCCTCCCAAGTAGCTGGGATTACAGGTGCCTGCCACCATGCCCAGATAAGTTTTTTTATTTTTGGTAGAGACAGGGTTTCACTATGTTGGCCAGGCTGGTCTCAAACTCCTGACCTCATGATCCACTTGCCTTGGCCTTTCAAAGTGCTAGGATTATAGGTGTGAGCCACCATGCCCAGCCGTTATTTTTTAAAGGATGAAAATTTCAGTCCCAGTAAATACATTTTTTGTTGACTAACAAATTAAGAACTCTTTGAAAAGGTAAATAAAGTTTACCTGTTAAGATTTTGTCTCAAAGGATTGATGATAGAGATTTCAAAAAAAGTCCAGGAGGGCATTTAAATAAGATAATTTCATCTCTAATGGTATTCTGCAAATCGTTTATTTTAGAAGTTAAGTTTCTTGTCTATAAAATAAAATTACCTCTCATGTTTAAAATAACAGAAGTCTTTAAGGTGTTTCAGGCCTATGAATGTGTCTCCGCATGTTTTTCTTCAGCATTTACTAAGTCTTCTGAGTTCGTATGAAGATCAGATTCACCTAAAAATATAAGGAAACAAAAACAAAACAAAATAAGGCTTTGGAAAAAACTAATAAGGTTAGGAGACTGAGGCACTTCGTAAAATGTTGAAGACTGGATTTTACAATGGATGTCGTGGCACATTTTTTCAAAGATACCAAACATTTTCCTTTCAGCCTGTGGATCTACAGAGAATAACAAGCTATCTTCTGGTGGTTACATAACTTTCTCAAGCTGCAATTTAATCTGGGAATACAGAAATAAAATAGATGAAGCAAGTTTAAACATCTATTAAATCCCATGTAAAAAATCATGATTTTTTTTCCTAATATTTTTAATTGGAACAAATCCCTTTAAATAAACCTTCTAATGATTTATGTCTTTTACCATATATTACTTAGTTGCCATGAATTTGAAAACTTGAGTATGAAAGGATAGTAGTGTTTAGGATAAAATGCAATCTGTTAAGACAAACTGATTTGGAATCAGTCAGTTTCCATATCAACTTTGAAGAAAAAATAAAATATTAGCATGGGAAATCTTTCAACATTTCTGGGAGGTTGTAAAGAATCTAGAAAAATAGAAGTATAAAGCAAAATGTATAGATAATAGTGTCTTATTACATAAGTAATGAAGTAAACAAAATTAACAGAAGTTAATTTTTGAGTCAATTACTTGAAATAACTTGATATTTTAGGAAATAGTCATATACAATGGAATATTCTTTGTGTCTGAAATTTGAGTAAAAATATTCTAATGATTAAACTTTGTACCAAATAACTTTGTTATAATTCCTTTAACATATATCATAGGACTGTATCAACTCAGTTGCAGCAGATTTTTGTCTGAAATTTCAGTAAAAATATTCTAACAATTAAACTTTGTACCAATTAACTTTGTTATCATTCCTTTAACATATATTATAGGACTACATCAACTCAGTTGCAGCAGATTTTTGTTGAGGTAAGTAATTAGTGAACATACAGAATTTATAAGGTGCTATTACAAAGCAAATTTGTCTTTAAAATATGGAGAATGGGGACTTAACTTCTTAGCCAAGGTCAAAATGTCAGGTAGTCTCCCCACTTTGCTGATCATTCTTAGAGAACTAAAAACATCCTGTGATCACATTAAGTTGCCAAAGTCCCAAATCAGACAATAGGTCTGGTCCCATGTAATACACATTATCGAACAAAGATAAGACTCCTTTTCCGCCTTGGGTTTGTTACAGAACCCAGAAATGGTGCATGTGTGTGTGGATCAGGGTGGTGTATATATGGTTGATGTTTCTCTCATTTCTTGTTTGCTCTCCCTCCACTGGCTACTTTGGACTCCTGAGCAGGGGAGAGAAGAAGGCTAAGAGGAGCAGCAGCTTTGTAGGATGGCTTTGTACTCACTAGAGCTGGCAGGTGTTTACAGCTGCCTTTATTTTATTTTCTGTGATCACAACCATGGGCTCTAAACAGACTTCTCACCAAGGACCATGGCTTTTCACTGGCTTGGTAAGACCCATGAATCTCTGGCTTCTTCTTCTTTTTTTTTTTTTTTTGAGATGGAGTCTCACTCTGTCGCCCAGGCTGGAGTGCAGTGGTGTGATCTCAGCTCACTGCAACCTCTGCCCCATCCTGCCAGATTCATGTGATTCTCCACCTCAGTCTCCTGAGTAGCTGGGATTACAGGCACCTGCCACCATGCCTAGCTAATAGCTAATATTTGTATTTTTAGTAAAGATGGGGTTTCACCATCTTTGCAAGGCTGATCTTGAACTCCTGATCTTGTGATCTATCCACCTCAGCCGCCCAAAGGGCTGGGATTACAGGCATGAGCCATTGTGCCTGGCCAAATCTCTGGCTTCTTTACAATGTCCACAGCCCCTGGAAATTTGCTGGCACATTTCCAACTTTTGTCTGCTGAGGTCCCATCACCCTTCCAAATGTGGGTGGGTACAATTAGTTCATATGACACGCTCTTGAGGCATTTGTTTCCATGAATGACTGGAAAAAAAGCTGAAACCTGCATTGCCTTCTCTCCTTTGGCTCACCTGCCACCATTTAACTTTTTAGATCTCTCAGGTAGGAACTAGATTCCATTCCCAATATACTCTTAACTTCAATTTCTCCAAGGGTCTTGGTAAAGCTCTTTTTCCTTGATTTAAGGTGAAGAAGGGAAGATTCTATACTTTTCCCAATAGCAGAGATTTCTTTAGAGGAATCCTTTTCATAAATCCTTTTTTCAAGCTCAGTAACCTGACCCTTTTATTTGTTTGAATTGGGTAAGGGTTTTATGCATCTTATTACTGACTTTTGAATCTTCTTTGAAATTATTGTCTCACAAATCAGCTTTTTTTCCTGACATTTATCATGCTAGAGGAGTCTTACCTTTAAGTCGTGGCTTAAAATTCTGATTTAATATTCTGTTACTTAAGACTAGATTAGAACAGAACAAAACATTCTAGAATAGAGCAGAACAGAGTAAAAGGAACAGACTGAATTACAAGAAAGGAATAGAATTAATTAATTCACTGGTTCTCAAAAATTTTTAGAGAACTTTTTTGAGACAGAGTTTCACTCTTGTTGCCCAGGCTTGAGTGAGATGGCGTGATCTCTGCTCACTGCACCCCCCGCCTCCTGGGTTCAAGCAATTCTCCTGCCTCAGCCTCCTGAGTAGCTGGGATTATGGGTGCCCACCAACCATGCCCTGCTAACTTTTGTATTTTTAGTAGAGATGGGATTGGCCAGGCTGGTTTCTTAACTCCTGACCTCAGGTGATCCACCAGCCTTGGCCTCCCAAAGTGCTGGCACTGCAGAGGTGAGTCACCACACCTGGTCTAGAGAAGTTTCTAGAATGGGGAAAGGACATCAAGGTCCATTCACCACCAAATTATTTATCTTTTTGTAAGCAGTAATAAAAGAGTAAAAGAAAAACAAAGAAGGTAATCAAATGGTAACAAGCCAGCAACTATAAAAAATAACAAATCCCCAAAGGATACATATATTATACCCAATAATAATTCTGTATATGTGATTAGCAACAATTAAGAACTCTGATGAACTCAAGACAAGAGTTTCATAGCATTGAAAAAGGGTTTTCCTTGAAAACTAAAATTCCAGCTTTTTTCAGGAGTAGACACACAATTTCCAAGCAATTTTATGACAGCCAAACGTTAGAGTCCTCTGCAAATCCAAATGACATGACTTATAGTTGATAAATGTTTAGTTGTAGAAGCTTTCACAATTAACTTGGGCAATACTAGTGACCCTTAGTACTTCATAAAAAAAAGTCATATTATTCTGACATATCATTCTCCCATAAAAAGGAATTAATTTGCATTTTCAATCTATTAAAGATCATCTTAGATGACCTTCATGGCCCAAGAGTGGATCATGTAAAATGCTCTGAGAAACATCTGTATATCAAGGTTCCAAATGGTTTTGAATCATAGGCTCCTCCTGTAGTCTGGTGAAACCTATGCCCACCTTTCCAAAATACAGTTATCAACATATGTAAGTAAACCTAGTGATGTGTGTGTTAAATAAAACGGTCTAATATCTATGTAGTTTTGAAATAATAATATCAAATGATACTTCAAGGTTGCTATACTAAACTTAACTATTTAATATATAGTTAATAAATAAATATATATTGTTTCTATTGATGGCAAACAAAAATACCATAAATGTTGGTGTGTATTGTTTCCTACAGATGAAGGAAATTATAAATTTCAGTTAAAGACTAGTAAAAAGAAATCCCTCTCTAAGTATCCTGATCCCATCTATATAACCTGGGATTAAAACTTTATCTAGTCTAACTTCAATTTTCAGGCAAGAAATAGGCCCAGAATATCAGTTGACTTTTCTCAATGCAGATCATGAATAGATAACCTGAAGTCAAAATGGCTGGCTTTTAATTCACTGGCACTTCAAAAAGACCAGTAACATGACCTTTGAATTTCATTTTACTGAAAAGATTGCAAGGTCATATATATAGAAAGCTACTTTTTAGGAATGAATGCAAGTGACCTGTTAAAGAAAGTACATATAAACTTGTTTGTCAGCCAGGAAAAAGAGTGAAAATAAAGGACCACAAATAATTCTGTTCATTTCAAAGAGTTTCATGCGATCATTTCAACCAGTTTCAAAAGTTCAAATCTAACAAAAGTAATTTGTAAAATGGTAGCAATATTACGGGTTTGCATTATAAATAGAGTCTCAGTTCTTCAGGGAGCAGGGAGAGAATGGCTGTTATAGGAGAGACAGATGTACCAAAACAAACAGAAATCCTCTAAATTTAGCTAATTCAGGCTTTAGATTGCAATTTGAGGTCACTTTTATCATATTAGAATCATTTGTTACACTCCTGGTGGTGGTGGTGGTGTAAATAACACTTGTACGGAATTACGCCAAGCACACTATCAAGAGGATATTAGGGACTTTTGTTTTCCAGTCAGGGTTTCACTAACTATCTGAGAAATAAATTAGTATAAATTATTACACAATTGAAAACATAACAATAATACTCAATACTTTGCGAACATCTACTAGGTGGCAGGCACTAGTCTAAGTGCTTCACTCACTTCACTTCCCAGAATCCTTACAGCAACCTTATTATTATCATTATTATTTTGAGAGGAAGTTACACTATTGTTGTTCAGGCTGGAGTGCAAATGGCGTGATCTCAGCTCACTGCAACCTCTGCCTCCCGGGTTCAACCCATTCTCCTGCCTCAGCCTCCCAAGTAGCTGGGATTACAGGTACCCGCCACCATGCCCAGGTAATTTTTTTTTTTTTTTGTATTTCTTATAGAGATGGAATTTCATCGTGTTGGCCAACCTGGTCTTGAACTCTTGAGCTTCAGGTGATCCACCCTCCTCTTCAAGGAGAAATATACTCCTTTTGAAAAAATTAGTTTTGTCCTAAATAGTAATTTTCCCACAACAGAAATAAACTTGATGTTCTTTTTGTATTTTTCTAATATATCAGATCCATAATTAAAAGATCATTTCTCAAGTAGATATAAAAAC